CCCCCCACCCTGTCTGCCCTGAGAAGAGGTCGGAGAAACTGTTTCACCCACGGGATGGCAGGTGGGAAGGGGCATCCCGCCTTCCCCGCTTTCTGCCCCGAGGGCACCGTCCGCCTGGCAGGGCCCTGGCGTGCACGGAGCCCGGGCACACGGGGCAGTGAGGGGGCTGCTCAGCACACCCCTAGCCAAGGCTGCTCAGTCCCCCTGGTGCAGGAGTGGGGAAACGGAGGCCAGCCTGCGCCAGTGGCCCTGCTTCCACACTGAGCTCCCCCGCGACATGCCCAGCGGGGGAGGGGATGGTGCCAACCGATGCCTGGGCTCCCACAGCCCGGCCGGCCTGGACACCCTGACTATGCCACGCCCGCAGGAGTGGCGGCTTCCCGGAGCGGGTGGGGCCGGAGCGCAGGGCCAGAGGCACAGGTGCTGCGGTGGGTGCCCAGAAGTTTCCACTAGGCTCTGTGAGGCCCCGCCGGCCTGGGACGGGGGTCGGGGACAGCGTCCTGTGCTGCCCACGTGGCGGGGGCACTGGCACTGCTGTCCTCCACAGACCATGGCCTTGCTGGCGATGCAGCCCCCCGGGAGGTCCCGCAGGACTCCCCCCCACGGCAGCCTTCTGCTCCTGCTCTTCAGCCTGGGTGAGTTCTGGGTGGCCAGCCAGGGAGGCCGGGACTTCCGGGAGCCTCCACCTGCCCGCACCTGCTCCCCACCGTGTGTGGGTGGCCTGAGTCCCACAGGCCACCAGCCTTGGCTCTGCCCTGGGAGGTGGCCGGACAGCCCTGCCGGACAGCTACGCCCCTTGGGGATGGAGGCTGAGCCGACAAGTGGGGGCTCAGGAGAAAGCGGGGTGTCCGTGGGGTAGGTGTGGACGCCCAGCAGCTGAGTCCAGGAGGAAGGTGTGAAGGGGCTCCCCTCTGCCTCCACACGCCGTGGTGGGCGCAGCCCAGGCGGCCCCAAGCCCCCCCTGCTAAACTTGTGCCCCCTCCGCAGGGTGGGCGCAGCCCTGGCGGGCCCAGGCCCGAGAGACAGGACAGGTGAGGCCCCTCTGGGGGAGCGGGAGGGCTTCTGGCCCTGTGTGGGGGATGCGGGCTGTGCTTTCTCTCACGCACGCGAACACGGGAATGCACGTCAATGGCACGCGCCAGCTTCCGAAGGTGCCCCATGTGAAGGTGTGGCTGGACCTGGGTGTGGCTGGCGGGGCGTAGCCACACCCGGAGTCCCAGACACAGGTAGCTGGGCCCAGGTGTCACCCGAGAACACCTGCTCCTGGTGCCCCCAGGAGGCTGCGCTCCGGGACCGGGTTTTGACCAACGCATCCAGCTTCGACAGGTGGGTCCAGGGCCCCCACAGCCTTGAGGATGCAGCTCAAGGGGCCTGTGCACAGGGGTGTCCTTCCTGGCGCGAGGTCCCAGCCTTGCCCGCTGCGCCGGGCCCTCCGACTCCTCCCACCAAAGATCCACCTCTGGGACCCCCGGTGGGCTCAGGGCTGGGAGTGCTGCCACCCCTGGCCCTCAAGTGCCACCCGGCCATGGGGGGTCGGCAGGGAGTGCTGGCGCCGTGGGGGGCAGTGTGGGGGAGGGGCGATCCTGGGTGCACACCGGCCCCTTCTCCAGCCTCCCCCCAGACCTCCTCCTTGGCTTCACGTGCGCCGAGGTGTCCGGCCTGAGCATGGAGCGTGTCCAGGAGCTGGCCGTGGCCGTGGGGCGGAAGAATGTCACACTCCGAGTAGATCAGGTGTGGGCTGCCGGCCGGGGCTGGGGGGCGCAGCTGGGGCCCCAGGCTGTCCACAGACACCCCCACCCAGCCAGCTCCGCCCAGGGCTCCCTGGCCACCCAGGCTGACCACAGGGTAGCCTGTCCCCACGGGGTCCAGCTCTCTGGGAGCGTCTGAGAGCCCCTGGCCGTCACGGCTGTGTCGAGACCCAGTTTCTGGGTCCCCTCCTGGAGCCCTGGGCCACCCTTCCGGGCTCCGTCCCCAAGGGGCGAATCAATCATGGCGCAATTCAGGGAGGGGTGAGGATGGGGGGGGCCCAGCCTGGCGGCTCTCCAGGAGCTGGGACATCTGTTGTGAGCGGAGCTGGGCGGTGCGTGGGTCGTGGGGCGGGCGTGGGGCCAGCCCCTCGGTCCTGGCCCGTCACCTGGGGCAGTGACTCGGAGCGTTCCGTGCTGGACGTCCCGCAGCTGCGCTGCCTGGCGCACAGCCTCTCTGCCCACCGCCTGCCGGAGGATCTGGACGCCTTCCCGCCGGACCTCCTGCTGTTCCTCAAGTAGGCTCCTGGCCCTGGGTCCTCGTCACACCAGCCCCGTCACACCAGCCCGGGAGCCGAAGCGCAGAGACTGGGTGGGCCAGCGGGCGTGGTCCGCACGCTGCCCAGCGTTCTCCCTCCACAGCCCGGCCGGGCTCTCAGGGCCCCAGGCCTGCGCCCGTTTCCTCTCCCGCGTCTCCGAGGCCAACCTGGATGTGCTCCCGCGGACGGCTCCCGAGCGGCGGCAGCTGCTGGCCGCAGCTCTGGCCTGCCGGGTAGGGGCTGGGCTGGGCGGGCGCCGGACGGCGGGGAGGGCTTGGCCGTCCCCAGAGGGTGCTGAGGCCGGCCGTGCGTGCAGGGCGTGCGGGGGTCCCGGCTGAGTGCAGCTGACGTGCTGGCGCTGGGAGGCCTGGCCTGCGACCTGCCTGGGTGCTTCGTGGCCGACTCGGCGGCCGCCCTCCTGCCCCGGCTGGCCATCTGCCCCGGACCCCTGGACCAGGACCAGCAGGAGGCAGCCCGGGCAGCTCTGCAGGGCGGAGGACCCCCCTACGGGTGAGAGGGGTGTGCGGGCAGGGTGTGCTCGAGCAGCCCTGGGAGGGCCCCGCCAGAGTCCCGCCCACGGCACCTGCCGGGGGCAGCGCCCGGCCCTGGCTCTGTCTGGGCTGCTCGCAGGGGTCGTGAACTGGGCCCTGTATCTGCACAGCTCCCCGTCGACGTGGTCGGTCTCCACCCTGGACGCCCTGCAGGGCCTGCTGCCCGCGCTGGGCCCGGACATCATCCGCAGCATCCCCAAGGTGAGACCCTGCCCCCAGCCCGTCTGTGGACGCCTGGCCACCGCGGCTCAGCCCCGGCCCTGCCCTGTCCTCAGGGCGTCATGACCGCATGGCTGCAGCGCACCTACAGGAACCCGCTCTGGCGCCGGCCCGAACTGACCATGGTCCTCCCGAGGTTCCGCCGGGACGCAGAGAGTGAGCGCCACGCCCTGCCCGGCGGGCAGCGGGCTGGGCAGGACACCCGAGGGTGGGGGCTCACACTTCTGGGCTCACCCCATCTAGTCCTAACAACCACGCGATGGGACATGAGCCCCATTTTGCCAGTGGGTAAACTGAGGCCCAGAGAGGGCCAGGCACCACCCAAGGTCCCACTGCAGGTATGGGAGAAAGGAGAGGCTGAAGGGGAAGGTGGCCCCTCACCCCTGAACTCTGACCCCGCCTGTCCCCGCAGACATGACCTGCCCCCCGGGGCGGGAGGCCCGCGTGGTGGATGAAAGCCTCATCTTCTACAAGGAGTGGGAGCTGGAGGCCTGTGTGGACGGGGCCCTGCTGGCCGCCCAGATGGACCGCGTGAACGCCATCCCCTTCACCTATGAGCAGCTCAACATTTTTAAGCGCAAATTGGACAAGGTGGCTGATGTCGTGGGCTCCACGCACCCGCGGTCCCCGGGCCGTGGCTGCGGCCCTCACGGTCACTTCCCCGCAGATCTACCCGCAAGGCTACCCTGAATCCCTCATCCGGCAGCTGGGCTACTTCTTCCTGACGATGAGCCCCCGGGACATCCGCAAGTGGAACGTGACATCCCCGCACACCGTGAGCACACTGCTCAGCATCAGCAAGGGGAGGAACACGGACGCCCAGGTGCGGACCTGAGGCTGTGCAGGCCTGGGGGGCACAGCGGGGGGCCGCACGGGCGGGAGGGGGACATATCTCTCCCTGCCACCAGGCAGCTCAGTGGCCTCCTCCCCCAGGTGGCCGCCCTGATTGCACAATATGTGTCGGGAGGTGGCCAGCTGCACAGGGACACCCTGGACGCCCTGGCGGCCTTCCGCCCCACCTACCTGTGCTCCTTCAGCCCCGAGCAGCTGGGCGCCGTGCCCACCAGCGTCCTCTGGTGAGTCCCCAGGGCTGTGCCGGCCCAGGTGGGCATCTGTGCTGTGCTCACAGCCTGCCCCACGCTGCCCCCCAGGGCGGTCGAGCCCCAGGACCTGGACATGTGCAGCGCAAGGCAGCTGGGCGTCCTGTACCCCAAGGCCCGCCTGGCCTTCCGGAACATGAGCGGGGCTGCATACTTGGTGAAGATCCGGTCCTTCCTGGGTGAGCAGCGGCCCAGGGTGGGGGCCACGACGGGGAGCCACAGACCCTCCCTTGGTGCTGGGTCCTCCCCTCCCTGGGCCACCTGATGCAGGTGGCCGGAGGGTCACCACCCCGCTGCCCCGGGCTGTGGATGGAGAGGCTGTGGGTTCCACTCGGCCCCCAGGGCCAGGCGGCCCGGCAAACCCAGGGCCCAGAAACTCCTCCGGAAAAGGGAGTCTGTGGAGAAGGAGCCTGTGGTCGGAGGCTGGGCTGGGGCGTGTGGAGCCTCACACCTGGGCCCTCCCCACGCGGCAGGCGGGGCCTCCACGGAGGACCTGCGGGCGCTCAGTCGACGGAACGTGAGCATGGACGTGGCCACCTTTAAGAAGCTGCAGACGGAGGCCGTGGTGGTACGAGGGGCCCGGGTGCGGGTCCAGCGCGGGGGGCCTTGGGAGGCGCCTGGGGCAGCCTCTCGCCTGGGCCAGCTGGCCGGGGACCGCTGAAGCCCCGACAGGCATCTGTGGGCTGGGGGGGCCCAGGGGCTTTGGACACCCCAGAGCCCGGCCGCGGTCTGCGGGGGCTGCCCTGATGGCCGCCCCGGGCCTGGCAGGGGCTGGCGGTGCCCGAGGTGCAGAGACTCCTGGGGCCGCACGTCGGGGGCCTGGCGGCCGAGCAGAAGAGCAGCCCAGTGTGGGACTGGATCCTGCGGCAGCGGCAGGACGACCTGGACGCCATGGGGCTGGGGCTCCGGGGCGGCGTCCCCAACGGCTACCTGGTCCTGGACCTCGGGGGGCGGCGCCGGCAGGTGGGGGCGGGCAGGCCTGACCCCCCGTCTCTCCCGGGGGCCCTCTCGGGGGGGCGCCGCCTGCTCGGCCCCTTCCCTGTGCTCTCCGCCACCCTGACGCTGCTCCCGGCTCTGGCCCTGCGCTGAGGCCACCACGCGATGCCCCCGCCACGGACCCCCCACCCGGCCGGGAGCAGGCCTGGGTGGTCCCTGTCCCGCCGAGAGGTCTTCGACTCAATAAACGGGAAGTTCCCGCTGCAGACACGCCCTGCGGCCTTCGAAGACCAAGTGGGGGCGGCCGTGGCCTTCCTGTGACCCCACGAATGTGGCCTGAGTCAGCCCCTCCCACCCGTGCTGGAGAAGAGGGCCCAGGCAGGGTGGGGCCCTTCGAGGCCGTCCTGATGCTGTTGCCATTGTCCCCGGGCCTGGCCGGCCCTCGGTGGCCGCAGGGGTGGAGGGTGGGGGTCCTGCTCCCGCGCCCCCCCAGCCGGGCCCCGTGCAGGCCAAGCCCCGGCCAAGACGGAGCACAGACGCGGGCGGGAAGGTCACCCTGTGCTTTATTTGTGTCCAGCGGTGAGGCCAGTGGCACCCACACCCCGCCCGGCCCCCGTTCTTCCGAAGGAGGGTGCAGGGCCTGGCTCGTGGCCGGGAGGGTCCCAGCTCCTCCTGGGGCCCCGTCCCCAGTCCACTGCAGGTCCTGGAGGCTGGGGCAGGGGTTGGTCCCGCAGGCCCCCAGGATGTCGGACACAGGCAGGTCAGCTGGGCCCAGGGCTGCACCTCAGCCTGAGCTGCATCCTGCCCCACCTAGCGGCCCCGTGTTCCCTGCGGGTGACGCCTGTGGACCTGCCCGCTCGGGGCGGCCCTGTCCAGGGAGCCGGGGTGCGGGGGCGTCTCGAGCAGGTGCGGTCAGGCCCGGGTGCCGCGATGCAGCAGCCACAGGAGGCCGGAGGGCAGGGCCATGGCCAGCGGCAGACACCCCAGGGGGGCATGTGGGCTGCCTGCGGGGGACACGGAGGGGACACGTCAGTCCGCCAGAGCCACTTCCGGGAGGCTCTGGGCTGGTGAGGTGGGGCAGGCCAGCCCAGACCCCCAGGCTGCTCTTCTGGCCCCAGCAGGGATCACAAACCTCCCCCTCCCCTGGCTGCTCAGCCAATCCTGTCCCTAATTAATTCCTCGGCAATGAAGGGTGGAGCCCGTCGCCCAGGCGGGACGCCAGGCGGCCAATGGAGGCTGCTGGCAGACGGGACAGCGCCTGGGAACAGGTGGGAGAAAGGAGCTGGGGATGGCTGGGTCCGCAGAGCCCGGCGCGGGGCCTGGTTGGGGAGGGAGGGGACCGTACCCGAGGTGGGAGCCTCGGCGTCCTTCCCAGGCAGGCCCCAGGTGGGGACTAGGTGGGGCGCTGGGGGGGTGGTGCTGGGGGACGCCCCGGTCGCGTGGGGCGGCAGGGCGGGGCTGGCAAGGTCGGGGTCCAGGCCGAGCGAGCCCAGGGCCGAGCTGTTGAGGCCACGGAGCCAGGAGCTGACGGTGGGGTGGCTGCGGGCCTTCCACAGGTCCCCCGCGTTCTGCCCCAGCAGCGTGGTCACGTTGCCGACGCTCAGGCTCTGCGGGCCGTGAGGGGCCGTGAGGGGAGGGACAGCTCCGCGGGGCTGTCCCCCAGGGGAGACCTGCTCGACCCGAGGCCATGCGGATGCGCGGGCCGGAGGCCAGGGCCAGCCTAGAGTGTGACGTGGGCCAGGTGCTCTGCAGTCCTCTGACTTGGGAGTGCCCGACCTGTGACCTAGGGGCTCCCCAGGCTGGCCGGCTCTGCCTCCCCCACCGGGGCAGCCCGGGCCCACCTGCAGCACGCGGGGGTTCAGGTTGGTGAAGGTGTCGATGTCCATGGAGACGTTCGCCTGGGCCAGGTGCCGCAGCTCCTCCACGGGGGCGCCGCCTGGGGGCAGCGGTGAGTGGGGGCGGGCAGGGCCCCCGGGGAGGGTGGGGCGCACAGGGCAGGGTCTCACCCAGGTAGGGGCGCATGAAGCGGTAGTAGGAGGCCATGGTCCTGCTGTTGCTGAAGGCCTCCCGGGCCTTGGCATAGAGCACGTCCTTCCGGCTCTGGGGGCAGGACGAGACGTCCAGGGCTCCGGCCAGCCTGGGGGTGCGGCTGGTGAGCAGAGTGGAGCCCCTCGCCCTTCGGGCGGCTGGGCGCGGCCCCCTCCCCAGCCACAGCTTCCCTCCTGCCCTGCGCACAGGGCTGAACAGTGTCCCCCGAAATTCACATCTGCCCAGACCTCAGAGGGGACCAAATTGCCAGATGAGGTCAGACGGGGTCAGGTGGCCCTAAACCCAGCAACGCATCCTTAAGAGAGCGAGACACGTGGACACGCACACGGGGAGAGGGGGCCGTGTGGGGCGGAGACAGATCGGATGCGTCCGCAAGCCAGGCAGCGCCAAAGCTTGTTGGCGACACCAGCAGCGGGACAGGGTGGGCAGGGGCCTCCCTGCAGGATTTGGGGGCGCGTGGCCCTGCCGGCACCTCGATGTGGACTTGGGGCCCCCACGGCATGAGAACGCACCTCCCCTGTTTTATGTCACCCTCCCTGTGGATTCGCTGGGCAGCCCCAGGACACTAAGGCCCCTCCGAAGGGACAGCCCTCCCGCGCCTCGGTTTCCCCTGTGATTCTCCTTGGCTGAGCAGTGAGCTGCCCCCGAGGCCGCGGCGTGGGCGGGTTGCCGAGAGGTCTCACCGGAACTCCAAGGGCCGGATGGTTTGGATCTGCTGCGGACTCATCCAGCAGAGGCGGGAGCCCCCGATGGCCACCAGCAGGGCGCCGGTGACCGTCCCGTTGTGGTCCAGGAACTTCTGCAGGACGGCCTGGGGGCAGGGCGCGGGTCAGCGGGGCTGGGACTTGGGGCCAGGGCACAGGGCCACATGCCCCCCTGCCGCCCTCACCTCCGTCTGGTTGTCCAGGGCCACGCCCGAGGCCAGCAGGGCCACGAGCGTGTCCCTGGACGTGATGTTCCACTGGCCGATCTCGGCACGCGAGTAGAGGTAGACCAGCGAGGGGATGAGCCGCAGCTGGTCCTCGGGGAGGCCCCGCGGGTAGAGCTGGGGCAGGCGGGCGGAGTCAGCGAGGCACCCCAGCCGGCCAGCCTCCTCCCCGGCACCCGCCGCCCACCTGTGCGAGCTTGGCCTTGACGACGCGCTGGCACTCGGTGGGCAGGGGGTGCTGCAGCAGGGCGTCCAGGCCGGTCGCCAGCACGCGGCTGCCCAGGCAGAGCCGGAGCTGGGCGCAGTCGTAGCGCACCAGGAAGAGGTCGTCCCGCAGCGTGGCTGCCGTGATGTTGCCGTGGACACAGGACCTCCCTGTGGGCGCCGGGACGGCCAGAAGGTCAGCCGCGGCTTGAGCCGACCACCGCGGCTGTCCTGGGGCCCCACCTTTGACCCCTTCTCCACTTCCGACCTTGATCTTGACCTGCTCCCCAAGCTCGACCTCTAATCGAGAACCTGGCCCAAACCACTGCTCTCTTGCCCACCAAGCCCTGGGAGGTGCAGCGCCCCCAGGCCACACTGACCTGCGCCCCGCTTGGGCCTTGAGGGCACGGCGTTGACCTGGGACTCCAGAAAGCTGGTGACGAAGCGCCCGGCATCCTGGCGGCTGAGCCGTCCCGCACGGCATGCAGCCACCACGCTGCGGAAGAAGTCCAGGCCCGTGGCCTGGCAGAGCAGGCGTGGCCGTCCCTCCAGCTGCCTGGTCCCTCCTCCCAACCCATGGACAGAAACCCTGCGGTGGGGACCTTGTGGGGCCCACTGAGGCAGACCCTGGGGCCCGTCCTACCTCCTGTACCTGCACCCACAGGCGGGGGCTGATGTAGGTAGCCAGGGGCCCCAGGGCCTGCAGCCCCTCCAGGGTCCAGGAGGCGGGGGGCCTGGTGCACAGAAAGGGGCCGCTGTGTGGGGCCCTGGACGCCGCCGGCCCCTCCCTGCGCGCCCAGCAGGTGCTCAGACGCTCCCAGCCCCTGGCTGGCGCTGGCTGCGGCCAACTGATCAGGCCTGCCCGGGGGACACCACGCCCTCGCCAAGCAGGGCCACACCCCGTGGTGGAGGCAGCCCCTTGCAGCCCTGTGCCCCTGGGCTATGGGGCCAGAGTGAGCCTGGGGGCTGAGGTCAGAAGTCAGCTGGGCCCAAACCCCAGGCCCACCGGCCCCTCCCACCCCGGCCCTGCGGCCCCACCCACCCGAGCTGGGTCCTCCCACCGGCCAGCAGCGCGTTCAGGGCGGCCCCCTGGGCGGCCGTCAGCCCGGGGCAGCGCCACAGGTTCTGCAGCACGGGCGGGTCCGCGGCGACGATGCTGGACGGGTCCATGTCACACACCAGCGCCCCGAGGAGCAGCAGGTCAGGGGCTGTGAGCCGCGGGTGGGGCCCCCCCTGCAGGGGCGGCGGTTAGTGCTCGGCGGGAGGCCGACCCGCCCGGCTCCTCCCGCCGCCCGGGGCGCCCACCAGGCAGGCCAGGGCGGCGCGTCGCAGGGCCACTCTCTGGTCAGGCAGGTTGGCCAGCAGCTCCAGGCGCCCCTGGGCGGCGCGGCCGGTGAAGGCGCGGCAGTCGGCTTCCCTCACCTGGGACAGGCTGCAGGTGGGGGGAGGCCGTCGGGGTGGGGGCGGGGCTGGGCCTCCCACCAGCCCTGCCCGTGGTCTCTGGGCGGCCCCTGGCGGGGCGGGGGCAGCAGCGCTCACTTGTAGAAGAGCAGCAGGTCCGGCGGGTGGAGCGGGAAGTCCTCCTGAAGGCCGCGCTGCGCTGCCAGGTTGGCCAGGCAGCTGAGCTGGGCAGGAGGGTGGCAGGTCACGCCCTTGTTGCCTTGAACTCACCGTGGCAGAGCGTGGCAGGGCGCCGCCTGCAGCTCTCCTCTCTGCCGGTCACCCTCCCCTCGGCCAGGCCCCCTGCAGGGCCCCCTCCCCACACGCACCTGCCCCTCCTCCCGCCCCAACCTCCACCTCAGGACAGGCCTCTCTGTGGCCAACCCAGTCCCAGAGGCCTCTCCACTCCCCAGCCACGGCCAGTCTGGCTGGGACGCGGCCACAGCCTCCTCACTTGCAAAGGGTTGAGGTTAGGGTTAGGATTGGGGTTGGGGTTAGGGGATAGGGGTTAGGGTTAGAGCGACCCTGGATGCTGGGCCGGCGGAGGCAGTTTCCTGTCTTCCTCAGGCCCCATGAGGCCCAGGGTGGGCTGGGGGCTGCCCCCGCCAGCACTGTCCCTGGGGAGCTTCCCGAGTTAGACCCGTGGGTGGCGCCCCTGGCCTTGCCCACCCACCTGTCCCTCCACCCAGGCCTGGCTCCGTCCCAGCCCCTGGACAGCTGCTGAGGTTCCGCTTGTCCCTCTGCAGCCCACGGAAGGAGGCGGCCTTGTTTCACAGCCACCCCCGGCCTAGTCGTGTCTAGTAGGCCTTTGGGGTCATTTCAAGGATTTTTAGCCAATTCATTGGAGGGTCCTTTGCCAAACTTTGTCAATCGGGCACCTGTGAAGTGAGCCGCGTATGGGAGGGGCCTCGAGGCAGACGAGGACTGTCCTTAGGTCTCTGGGCAGCCCCTGCCAGAACCTGGTCCCTGAGGGGAGGCCCACCCAGGGTGGGGGCACTGGGACTGTCCCCCGCGTGGCCCCCAAAGGAACCACCAGGGAGTGGAGAGTGGGCTGCCACCCTCCTGGAGGGTGAGGCATCCTTCATGCTGGGCGCAGGGGGAAGAAAAACCCTGATGCACAAACACGTAGAACATTAGTAAGTTTGAATAGGATGTTAAACACATTTGATTATCAATAAAAAGGCAAAAATGAGGCTAGAGGATCACTTGAGGCCAGGAGTTCGAGACCAGCCTGGGCAACACAGCAAGCCCCCATCTCTAAAAAAAAAGTCAAAAAGCAAAAAGCAACATCTGAAGCACATATACAAACTGTTAATATGACCGTTACCACTGCGTTGTTAGCAGTTGCTCACACGGATGAGGACACAGAGGTGTGCGTTAACAACCGCGTGTGTGTGAGTGAAGACACAGGGTGAGGAGCAGACACACGACCACCACACGGGTCCTCAGCCCACCCAGACAGGGTGAAAACCCTGCAGGGCTGGGGGAAATGCAAGTCCGAAGGAGGAAATCGGGGCCTGAGGAAGCAATAATCGTAATAGATGTAAGCGGACTAACTTTGCAATAAAAAGACAGAGGTTTTCAGATTAAAGTATTTCTGCGCTCTGCTGTTTACGAGAGACACTAAAACATAAAGCCGGCAAAGGTTGATGGTAAAAGAGTGGAAGAAGATAACCCCGGAAACTGGGAACGAGAGGCAGCTTTGGCAGCTTAACTTTTGCTGTCGTCTCTGCAACAGCCAGAGGCCTGCGGAGGTGGGTGCGATAGAGTCTGTCCTTCAGGGAACCGGGTCATTTCAGCGAGGCTGTCACACTCGTGTGCATGGATGTGTCTTTCTTGTCCTTTTATCGTCCATGGGGTCTGTAGGGACGGCCCCCTTTCATTTCTGATATCGCTAATTTGCGTTTCCTCTCCTCTTCCCCCTCGGTTAGCCTGGCCAGGGCTTGACTGATCATTTCAAAGAAGCAGCGTTTGGTTTCGTTGACTCTCTCGATTGATTTCCGTTTTCAGTTTCATTGATTCTGCTCTAGCTTTCACTGTTTCTTTTCTTCTGCTCAGCTGGGGCTCGCACTGCTCATCTTCCTTGTTTCCTGACATGGAAGCTTCTGTGATTGATTTTTAATCTTTCTTCTTTTCTAATGTGTGCATTCAGTGCTATAGATTTCCTCTGGGCCGGGCGCGGCGGCTCACGCCCGTAATCCCAGCACTTTGGGAAGCTGAGGCAGGAGGGTCACTTGAGGTCAGCAGTTTGAAACCAGCCTGAGCAACAGCGAGACTCCATCTCTATAAAAAATATAAAAATTAGCCGGGCATCGTGGTCCATGACTATCGTCCCAGCTACTCGGGAGGCTGAGGCAGGAGGATCACTCGAACCCAGGAGTTCGAGGCTGGTATGAGCTATGATGACGCCACTGCACTCCAGCCTGGGTGAGAGCGTGAGACCCTGTCTCAAAAAAAAAAAAAGTTTCCTCCTCTGCCTTCTCCATACCCCACAGATCTTGATAAGTTGTATTTTCATTTTCATTTAGTTCGAACATTTTACAAATTTTCTTGGGACTTCTTCTTTGACTCCTGTTATTTAAACTTGTATGGGTTAGTCTCCCAGTATGTTGGGATTTTCCAGCTATCTGTTATTAATTCATAGTTTGGTTCCATTGTAGTCTGAGAGCAGACATTGTTCGATTTACATTTTTGAAATGCGTTAACGTGTCTTATGGCCCAGAGCGTGGTCTACCTCGGTGAGCGCTGCCCGTGAGTCTGAGGAGGACGCGTGTTCTGCGGAGTCGACTATGACCTGCTGATGGACGGGGCTGTCGAGTCCAGCTCTGCCCTTGCTGACTCTCTGCCTGCTGGACGTGTCCACTCTGATGGGGCGTCGACGTCTCCCCCTGTGATCATGGTTCGTCTATTTCCCCTTGCAGCGCGACCAGTTTTCGCCTCGCCTATCCTGGTGCTCTGTCGCTGGGTGCATGCGTGTTAGCAGCTGCCGTGTGATCCTGGAGAGCATCGGTAGTCGTGCCCTCTTCGTCCTGGCAGCTTCCCTTGCTCTGAGGCCAGCTCTGTCTGAACTCCATGTAGCTATTCCCCTTTCTTTTAATTAGTGCTCACGTGGCATATTTTCTCTATTTACTTTTTTCTTTTCTTCTTTTTTTTTTTTTGAGACAGAGTCTCACTCTATTGCCCTGGCTAGAGTGAGTGCCGTGGCGTCAGCCTAGCTCACAGCAACCTCAAACTCCTGGGCTCAAGCGATCCTCCTGCCTCAGCCTCCCAAGTAGCTGGGACTACAGGCATGTATATATTTTTAGTTGTCCAGATAATTTCTTTCTATTTTTTTTTTAGTAGAGACGGGGTCTCGCTCTTGCTCAGGCTGGTCTCGAACTCCTAAGTGCAAACAATCCGCCCGCCTCAGCCTCCCAGAGTGCTAGGATTACAGGCATGAGCCACCGCACCCAGCCTTTCTTCTTTTTTTTTTTTTTTGATAAAGGGCTTTGCTCTGTTGCCCTGGCTGGAGAGCAGTGGCGTCATCATAGCTCACTGCAGCCTCCAACTCCTGGGCTCAAGCGATCCTCCTGCCTCAGCCTCCTCAGTAGCTGGGATTATGGGCCTGAGCCACCGTGCCTGGCTCATCCATTTAATCTATATGTCTTTATATTTAAAATAGTTATCTTATAGACAATACATAGTTGAATCTGTTTTTTTTAATCTACTCTGACAATCTCTGTCTTAATTGGTGCATGTAGACCACTGACATTCAAAGTGATTATTTTGATATAGTTGGCTTAATAGCTCTCATATTTCTTTTACTGTTTTCTCTTTGTTGCCATTGTTCTTTATTTCTTTTTTATTTTTTTAAGAGATAGGGTCTCGCTCTGTCACCCCAGCTGGAGTGCGGTGGCACAGTCACAGCTCACGGCAGCCTCAAACTCCTGGGCTCCAGTGATCCTCCCGCCTCGGCCTCCCGAGTGGCTGGGACCCCAGGTGCCACCACACTGGGCTATTTGTCCCTGTTGTTGCCTTTCGCTCTTTCTGCATTCTCTGGTTTCAACTGAGCATTACATATGATTCCATTTCCTTGCCTCTCTTAGCATATCAATTATGCTTCTTTTAAAAAAAATTTAGTGGTTGCCCTAGAGTTTACAGTAAACATTTACAACTAATCTAAGTCCACTTTCAAATAATATTATACCATTTCATGGGCAGGAAAACATCAGACTAGAGCCCTGACTAACGCAGTAAGACAAGAAAAGGGTTTATGGCACACAGACTGGGTAAGAAAAAATAAAACTGTCTTTGTTCATGCAAGACGTGATTGTCTATCGGAAAAATCCCAAAGAATCAACAACGAAAAAGCAAAGAAACATCTGAAACTAATAAACAAATACGGCAAAGCTGCACTATACAAAGTTAATACACAAAAGTCGATTGCTTTCCTGTATACCAGCAACCACAACTGGAATTTGAGACAAAAAACACAATACCATTTATATTAACACCAAAAATCATGAAATATTTAGGAATTCATCTACCAAAATATGTATAAGATCTATACACGGAAAAGTGGAACACTCAGATGAAGGAAATCAAAGATCTAAGTAAATGGAGAGCTATCCCACGTTCATGAACAGGGAGACTCAGCCTCGTTAAGCTGTCAGAGCCATAGATTCAACACGGCCCACACCGGAGGCCCAGCAGGTTGTTTTGTGCATGTCACCAGCCCGATTCCGAAGTCTGTACACAAAGGCAAAAGACCCAGAATGGCCACGGCAACACTGAAAGCAGAGAACTGACCCTCCCTGGCTTCAGGATGTGCCACGAGGCCACAGTAACCAAGACCGTGCGGCAGTGTTGGGAGAACAAGTGGATCAGTGGAGTAAGATGGAGAGACACAGCCCTACAGACGACACCCGATCCCGGCAAAGGACCACGGGAAACTCAACGAGTCTTTCAACAAATGGTGTCGGAACAACTGGACGTCCATATAAAAACGAATCTAGAAACAGATCTTACGCCTTTAACAAAAATTAACCAGAATGGCTCACACTGATGTAAACAGAAAACGCAAAACTACAAAACGTCTAGGAGACGACAGACGGGAAAGTGTAGGCGACCTCGGATTTGGCGGTGCGTTTTCAGGTACGACACCAAAAGTAAGGCCTGGGAAAGAAAGCACCGATGATTGATTGAACTCCTTGGACTTTATTAAAGTTTGGAACGTCTGCTCGGCAGAAGACACCGGTAAAAGAATGAAAAGACAAGCCAGGGTCTGAGAGGAAGTATTTACAAAACACATACCTGATAACGGACTTGGCCACAAAGTCTTCAAAGAACCCTTAAAATTCAGCGACAAGAAAACAAAGCACCCGATAAAAACGGGCAAACTACCTGAACAGACTTCTCACCAAATAAGATAAGCAGACGGCAATGACACGAAAGATGTTGAACTGCACACGCAGCAGGGAGTTGCCAACTAGAACAACAATGAGACACCACTGCATATCTATCAGAATCAAAAACCCAAACTCCGCCGACACCCGGTGCTGGCCCGGACGTGGAGCTGGTGGGAATGAACAACGGTGCGGCCGCTTCCGAGGGCAGCCTGGCAGTTCCCGCAGCGCCAACGACCGTCTGGCCAGGTGTCCAGCAGTCACGCTCCTGGACGTTTACCCGCGTGCGTTGCAAATTACGTCCACACCAAAACCTACACGCAAATGTTTACGTGCAATTGCCCAGACTGGAGGCAATGAACACGGCCCTCGCCAGGTGAACGGACAAACTGGTACAGCCACACGACGGAGCACCTGTCGCTCAGCGGTGAACAAAAATGAGCTGTGAAGCCACGAAAAGACGTGGAGGAACCTCAGCGCCCGGCGCTGGGGGAGCAGCCAGTCGCACGGGCCACGCGCCGGCGGCTCCAGTACCCAGCATTTGGCAAAGGCAGCGCTGTGGAGGCAGGTGAATGTCAGTGGCTGCCGGGGACGGGGTGGGGGATGAACAGGTGGCGCATGGAGATCCTGTAACAGCGGTTACCTGTCAATATGCAAAACCCATAAAACGCGCAGCGCAGAGTGGACCCTCATTAAACCACGGGCTTTAGTTAGTAGTGATGTGGAAATATTCTTCTTAATCATGACAGATGTACCACACTGTGCAAGATGTTACTAATGGGAGACTCCGTGTGCGTGTACGTGTGTGCGTGTGCGTGCATGTGTAGGTGTGTGTACATGCGTGTGTGCGCGTGTGCATCACGTGCATGTGTGTGTGTGTAGCGGTACATGGGAACTCTCTGTACTATTTGTTCAATTTTCTGTAAACCTAAGATTGCTCTAAACAATTGTCTATTAACTGCTAAGAAGTCAGCCTGCGAGGGAGCGTGCATTCCTAAACGTGCTATGAGAACAAGACGCCCTCATAGAAATTCGCGCGCGGCGGGAGAGAGCAGAGTGGAGAAGCACCGGGTGGGGGAATCGCTGAGGGGGGTTGTCAGTTCAAGCCAAGTCAGCCCCTCCCGCATTCCTGGACAACCAAAAACTGGTAGAACCTTCTAGAAAGCAACTAAAGAACAGCTACCTGCGGCTCGAAAATGCACGTATCAAAGATGACATTTCCCTGCTCGACCAGCCAAGATTTTCGCACGATTGTACTGAAGCCAGGGGAGGGTGGCTGGCGGGAGGCCCTGTCTCCCTGGGGGGTGAATTCAGTCTTACTGTTCCGGAAAACAGCAGCGTGTGAGCGGATCGAGAGCCTTCGTGGGGTTAGACCCTGTGACCCTGATTCCCCGCAAGGCGTCCTAAGAAATTCCAGTGTTTGTGTAAAATTATTCCTGGGACACTGATAACAGAGGGACATTGGGACCCCCCTAAACACCCAACAAAAAGGAAAACCTTGGAAAATTGGGCAGTTGGATTTTACTTTCTCCCTTGTATTTTCCAGTGTCTTCCAAAGTCTCCCACTCGAGCAGCCGGGCGAACGCCCCAGAAAATGTGACTTTCCCAGGACGGCTCTGGCAGGTCTGTGCTGAGGAGATGCTCCGAGTCTGAAAAGCTGCCCCACGTGGTGGAAAGCAGTGACCGGTGAGTGGCCAGCGGGAGCAGCTGTGACTTAGGAATCGGCCCTTGGAGCGTTCCTGGGGCCTGGGGACACCTGGCACCGCCTGGGCGCCAGGACCAAGCCGACCCTGGCTTAGAGGGCGCCGGGGGAGCGCAGGCACCCAACAGACGCGGCGGGGACGCACAGAAACCACCTGGAGGGGGGACACCCAGCCTGCCTGTCACGGCGGGGCTCACCAGAGAGACACATTAGGTGGTTTTGGGCTGGCTTTGAGACAACCCTCGTGCTCGGGGGAGCTGCACACCCGCACCCCAAACGGCCCGGCCCGGGGTCCCGGTCAGCCTTCGCCTGCCTGTCCGCCGCCAGGGAGGCCCTCGCGTGTGCGCAAACCCGCCCTCCCCGCCGCGGCTGCTCACCTGCCAGGCTTCGAGCAGGACCTGCAGCGCGGCCATCTTCCTGACCAGGGCTGAGAGCCGGTCCCGGGGCAGCTGGCTGGCCGGCCAGCACCAGAAGTCTTGCAGCAGGGAGCTGTCGGCGCTGCGCAGAGGGGGGCTCGGGGCAGCCGGGAGGAGGGGCACAGCCCGCGGCGGAGGAGGGGCACAGCCCGCGGCAGGCAGGCCCCGGGTCAGACTCAGTGGCCCCCCACACGGAGGGCGTGGGAACGGGAGTGGTGGCTGGGACGTGCCTGGGACTCCAGCGAGATCCCACCCAAAGGGGTCTCAGGTGCCCCTCAGGACCTGGCCCTGCCTGATCGATCACCTGATTGATGGACTGAGCGGCCTATCAGCAGCCACCATGCCCCAGGGGAGGCCTGAGCCCCCAGACATGAGAGGGAACAACAGTCCCCAAGCCGGTGGCCAAGCCTCGAGGCGGGAGTGGCTGGAGCCTGAGCGGGGCTTAGGGGTTCGGGGGGCCCCAGCCCCAGCCGCTGTGCCAGGCCCAGGTCGAGGCCTCTCGCCTGCCCGGCCCAGCTGCAACCTTGGCAATGGCCTGGGGACGTGGTCCCGGCCACGTAACTCTGCAGCTGGACACAGGACATTCTGGTCATCTCGGCGTCTGGCTGCTGAGTGACCTTGGAGACAGGGCCAGGTCCCCAAAGTGGGAGCCCGGGGACAGTAGCCCTGCACGGCCGCTCCTGTGCCCTCATGGGCAGACCCTGGAGATGGTTCCTCCCCGGGGACCTCCAACGGCTGCTCCCGGACCCTCCTCTTCCTCCTCCCTCTGCCCTCCGAGAATCGGCTGCAGAAAACACTCCATGTGCAGACTTGGAGCTGCAGGGGGCCCGGCACTCACCTGGCCCTCGGGTCGGCCCCGCCGGCGTCCAGCCCTCCCTGGGCCAAGCCCTCAGCCCGGGGCCGGGAGCAGTGGGCAGTGAGGGACAGGAGGGCGAGGCCACGGCCTGCCAGGGCACCTGGAACAGAGACGGCCACAGGGCACTGGTCCCTGTGTGCACGAGCCCAGGCCTGGGTGCGGTGTGTGTGTCTGATGGTGTGTGCACATGCGTGAGGCTGTGCGTGTGCATGGTGCCATGCACACATGTGACAGAGCACACATGGATATGACGACGGTGTGCACACACACGTCTGGCGGTGTGTACACACACCCACCAGAGTGTGCACGTGTGTCTGCCATTGTCTGTGCACGCCCGCAAGGGCGTGTGCTCGTGTGCAAACTCCCTCCCTCTCTGGCCAGACCCCGTGGCTCTGCGTGCTCAGTCTGAGCCCTGAGGCCCCTGAAGCAGAAGAGTGGGGCTCGGGGCTGCCTGGCAGGGCTCCGCTTGCTCAGCCTCTGCAGTGGGGTCACGGCCAGGCCTGTCAGCAAGATCTGGGGGGCCTGGCCCTGTTCCTGCCTTAGAAGGAGGTGGGAGTTCAGGTCCAGGGGAGCCCCCTTCTGTCGCTGGCCCCAGGCAGACCATTTAGAGAAATCTCTCCTCCAGCATCAAGAGGGCCCCACAGAGGGGGCGTCAGCCCGGGCAGAGGTCTGCCATGGCCCACGAAGCTCTGCCCATGGCCTCCTGGGCTGCTGGGCCGGCATCCCCTTCCCGGGGAGGCACTGGGAAGTGGGTGTCCCCGGGCCCCTCCCTGCCCTGCCTCTGAGCCCCTGGAGGGCTCCGTGCACCTCACCCCTGCCTTTGCCCTCAGGCCACACTCTTGCCCTGTCCCCGCCTTGTGCCGGTCCAGACCTCGGCCCGCGGCGAGGGCTGGGCTCCCTGTGCCCTGTCGGCACCTGGCTGCCCTGCGTTCGGGGCGGTACCTGCCTCCTCCTGTCCTTGCTGGGCCAGGCCCTGTGTGCGGGCTCTTGTGGGCAGGTGGCCGGAGCCCGGAACACCCCCCACGTCCGCAGTGACCGATGCAGATGGTCTTCCCATCCGCTCTCCCAGCCACCCGGGGAGCCCCCGCGAGGGCCCGGGGCACCCCTTCCCCGTGGAGGTGTTGTCTCACCCACTCTGGGGCCCATGTCTGTGCGGCGGGGTGCGCTGGTCGTCTTGGCTGAGACGTCTGGGGCAGGAAGGCGCTGGGGCCACGGGCAACGGGGCCAGGACGAGTGGGCGGGTCGGGGGTGACACAGGCTGGCCGTCCAGGTCTCGTGGGCGGGCCTCGGGCTGGAGCTGTGTGCGTCTCCCCCACCTTTGGGGAGAGAAACAACCCCACAAACAACACTTTGGAACAAAGGGGATGGGCAGGGAGGGGCCGGGCCAAATACCGGGGCTTTCTTATCGCGGGTCAGGACTCAGGGGACACCGGGCTGCCGCGTCTCCAGTGAACACATCGCTGCATAAACAGCCTATGCCCTGGGGCCGCCTGGGGGGAGAGGCCTGGTGGGCTCCTCAGCCTGCCCGGGGCAGCCCCCGTCTCATCCCTACACCCAGACAGCGGGGCAGCTCTGTCACCGAGACCTGGCCCCAGGTGACAGCCCCGGCCAGCCTCGGTGGCACTGAGGACCAAAGCTGTGGGGGCCCAGGATTCGGGTCTGGGGAAGACAGGGCCTGGCCAAGGCGGCAGGACCGCCCCGTGCCGCCGCCTCCTCCTGGGCACCTCTGGGCCTCCGGACTCCCTGTGACCCAGGGGAGGACGGAGAGGCTGCCCAGGGCCCAGAATCAAAGCCCAGGGGTGGTGGCCCCCACCCCTGCCTCCTCACCTGAGCAGGAACACGGTCTGTGGAAGGGGCAGGTGCCACCCAGGCTGGGGGTGTGGGGAGGTGTGGACCAGGCGCTCCAGACACCGGCGATCCCAGCCTCGAGCACGTCTGCCAGCGCCGCTGAGCACCCAGGGTGCAGGGGCGGAGCCAAGCGGCGCACCAGGGTCCCTGCTCACAGCCACGCTCGGCCCGGCAGGCGGCATGAGACGCCCTCCAGCCTCCTGTAGGGGAGGGGCCTGGGCTGTGCCAGGTGACACTGGTGTCAGCCCCTGGGGGCCCTGGGCACGGCGGGCACCTGCTCCCAGCCCAGGGGAGCGGAGGCTGAGCTCACAGCTGGCGGCTGCCCAGCACACACCCCTCCGCACGGGGCCCAGCCCTGCGGTGTCTGCACCCCGCCGGTTAGCGTGGCGCGTCCGTGTGTGTGCAGGTGCGTGTACGTGTGCCTGTCAGTCCACGTGGTCTATGCACCTGGGAGCACGGACACATATGTGCTCTGTGTCCCTCCGTGCATCCCCATGCATGGACGCTGGGCACAAACAGCCCCCATGTGGGGGCGGGTTCAGCGGGGCCCGTGGCCATTCTGTGTGTGCCGGGCACAGAGCCGGCAGCCATGTGCACACGTGTGTGCGCACCCAAGGGCAGAGAGAGCGTGTATTGGCGCATGCCAGGGACAGCTTTGTTGGTGGACGACCGAGCCACACGCAGCCCTATCCCCGCCGAGAGCCCTGCTCTCCTGATGCCTGCAGCCACGTCCTCGGCGACGCTGTCTGCTGAGCCCGAGGGGCCCAGGAAGGGGCAGCCTGGCAGACCGGCAGGGTGGCGGGACCAGCAGGTGCTGCCACCGCAGGGAGAGGTGCTGCGGGACGGAGCTAGGGCGGCCTGGCTCGCCCAGAGTCCCGTCCAGCTCAGGATGGGTCTCGAAGGGCCCCTCGGCCACCAGCTGGGCCAGCTCAGCGGGACGCAGTGGCTCCGACAGCTGCACCCAGCTGTGGTGAGGGGCAGTGAGGCCGGGCAGCCCCCAGAGTCTAGAGGGGCCGGGTCCAGGGGGCAGGTTGGGAGGGGGTCCTGCTAGAGAGGGCTGCCCCCAGCACTGACCCCAAGGCCTGCTGACTCCACCCCAAGCCCCAAGTGCTCGCGGGGAGCAGGGTTGGCCAAGGCCTTACGGGGGCTTGTGGGGAGGGTTGTCACGTGGTGGGGCCTCCACCCACCCCAGGGTCCAGGCCCAGCCCTGGCTGGACGAGTGGCCACACCTCGTCCCAGGCTCTTCTGCGGACTGTCTTACTGGGTCCGCCCCACGGTCCTCGGTTCGGCCGTGATCCTCACCAACAGGCTGGAGTGACTGAGCGAGTCCCCTGAGGCCAGACGGGGGTGTGCCCAGGGCCTGTGTGTTCCCGGCAAGGCTGAGCATCGCTGCGCCATTTTGCCCACGCCCACTTGGGGCACCTGCCCGGCCACTTGTCTGAGGAAGGCCCCTCGTGGCCCCCATCCAGGGGACCTTGCCTGGTCACGCCCACACCCTCAGAGCCTTGCTCACTCATAGCTAGGGTTGGGGGCAGGTCGGCTGGGTGGGCCCATGTCTGGAGCCCTTAGCCCGAGGGGCGGGGGGCACTCTATCTGGCAGGGGGTGAGGGTTGGCCTGACAGGTGGTGGTAGGGGGCTCTTTGGGTCCTAGGAGACCACCAGGGACTACAGGGGTCTTCAGGGGGAGGAACCGGATGGGGGGACAGAGGCGGCCACCTGCCTCCCGCCTGCCCATCCACCTTCCTGCTGCCATGTTCCTTGCTCTGCAGGCTCAGCCTCTGGCCCTGTGCCGGCCCAGCCTCTCCCCGAGGCCCTGCCCTGCAGATTGGGGTCCCCTGACCCCATGGCTGATATCCTGGCCCTGCCCCGGGCCACCTGGCCCTTGGTGGCTAGCTGGCGCCGGGCGGCAGAGCAGTGATATGGAAGAGGCTTCTCGTGCTCCCGCCCTGTGGGGGCTGAGTGGCTTGGAGGGCAGCTGGTCCTGCAGGTCGGGGAAGAGGTAGCGGGCCACCCTCGGCCACGGCCCCTGCAGCTCCCTGGAGCTTGGAGGTTGGGTAACGGTGGTGGCGCTGTCTGGGTACCTGACGAAAAACAGTTCTCTCTGCCCTGGCGTGAAAAGCGGCCTCCTGGGTTCAGCCCTCTGCCCCGAGGGGGTTATGGGGGACCCACCTTCCTCAGTGTGGCCAGTCGCTGTGGCCTGAGTGAGCTTCCCGGGAGTGGGGAAGGAGGCCTGGCCACCCTGCGGGATGTTTTGGGATAGCTCTGTCTGAGGTCCCAGCGGGCAGGGACCCTCGGGGGCTCACCAGGAAGGGGTGTCTGGTGGTCCCCCCCAGCCCCCAGATCCTCGCGGAAGCACCCCTGGGAAGCAATCGAGTTCATCGTCTCACAGTCCAGGGTGGCAAGGACTCAGGACCTGCTGCGAGAGCAGGGCTGCGCAGGACAGGCAGGCGCCCAACAGGCACGAGCAGGTGGGGACGTGCCCCGAGAGGGGCTGGCGGGTTTGAGGACTGGGCAGGGCTGGGTGTGCCGGGCACGCTGAGGGGCCAGGCTGAGACTGGCGGGGTGCTCCGGTGCTCGTGGCTGGGAGGGCTGGGGGTCCTCCGGGGCGAGCCGACCCGGCGGCTTCTGTCCTGAAGCCAGGGCTGCAAGGGGCTCAGCGCCCGGAGGAGGGGCAGGTCAGCTGCTAGGACCACGAGGACCCGGGTACAGGCACAGGGACTGCGTAGGGTCTGGGTGTCCAGACCTGTCCTCCAAAATCCCGGCTTCAGACACCCTCACGGTCTCTCTCAGAGCCAGTCACTGAGCATTTATTTCCAGTCCCCAGAGCCCAGTGTGGTCAGGTGGAGAAAGCGGGCCCCGGCCAGCCCACGGCTCCCAGGCTGGGTCTCTGAAGGCAGACACCCGCGACCAGTGGCTGTGGGAGCCAGGCAGGCGGTGACGTGGCAGGGGCTGCGGTGGGGGGCCTGCGAGACCCCGAAGCAGAAGCGGCACCAGCAGCGGGTCTGGAGGGGGCGCCCGTGGTGGGGCCTCAGCTGCTCCCGATGGATACCTGTGTGCCGAGGCAGAGCGCCGGCCCCAAGCTCAGGATCCAGTTACAGGTGGGCAGGGCCGAGGGCGAGTCCAGCAAAAGCAAAGGCACAGGCAGGTAGATCCCAGCCCGGCAGGGGCAGGGCGGGGTCTGCAGGAGGAGAGGCAGGGCAGGAGGGTCGGAGCAGAGCCTTCTGAACAGGGGGACTGGGGGAGGTCTGGGGCTGAGGCCCAGGTGAGAAGGCCTGAATGGCCCTTTCCAGCCCCTCTGAGGGGACAAGCACACCTGGGGACAAAGGCCAGCCCAGACCCTGGTTCTGCTCTTCCAGCAGGTGACTCTGGGCAGGTCCGTAAAACAGAAGCCCCTAGGTGAAGCTTCAGAGCTGGAAGCTGCTCCAGGAGGAAGGAAGGGCTTTGGTTCCCCCCTGGGGACGCTGGGAGGGGGCTCCAGGACAGGGCGTCAATCTCAGCCCAAAGTGCGCCAACCTCGCCAGAGATCACAGCTGCCTGGCGCCCCCTGCTGGCCCTTCCCACAGGCCTGGTTGGAGCAGCCTGGCGGCCGCGTCCTCCTCTACCTTGACCATGAGACGCCGCCTGCTCCGGATGGGCCCAGGGTTCTGCCGCACAGCCCCCAGCCCCAGGGGTCCCAGCCCGCCACCCCCGCCCCCCGCAGCCCAACATCAGTTGTCCGGTTCCAGCGTCCACTCTGACAGCCACTGCAGGCAGGAGGCCCGCTGTGCCTCGGTCTCGGGGGATTTGGTGCAGGGCGGTGGGGGCTGGCCCGGCCCAGGCAGGAGCGTGGGGGCGCTGCATGCCCCAGGGCCCCCATCCATGGGGTCAGGGTCGGGGGCAGCCCGCAAGGCCTGGAATAGCTGGTCAAGTGGCTGCACCAGGACGTGGGGGCTCCAGCAGGCGTCGAGGGCGGGCAGGAAGGGGTCCGGCGTGCAGGCCTCCACGCACTCGGCCCGCGTGGGGATGCGCAGGTAGAAGGCGTGCAGCATCATGCGGAAAGGCTGGTCCTCCCGGCCTGCGGCCTGCCCGTAGGTCAGGTCACCCACCACGGGGTGGCCGAGGGCACTGCAGTGCACTCGCAGCTGGTGTGTCCGGCCTGCGGGGCGGGGGGCCAGTCAGGCTCGGGGGGTGCTCCACACCCACACCCCCCACCCGCCTCGCGTGCCGGCCAGCAACCTCTCCCACGGCAGCCTCAGGGCCTCACGGCAATTGCTGGGGCGGGACCCTCCCTGTCCTCCGCTACAGGCGAGGCCATCAGCGCTCAGGACGGGGACTGCCGAGGGTCACCACTGGCCACAGCAGGGCCAGGGCGGCACCTGGTCTGGCTGCAGAACCCAGGCCAGCGAGACCCCCACACCAGGTGAGGGGCTGCGGGTCTCGGGGTGGAGGGTGCCGTTCTCAGCTGCACCTGGACACTACTCTGCCTCTGCGCCTCCGTTTCCTCTACTCGGTGACTTGGGCACTGCCCGCCCCCACACACACCTGTGAGAGGCTTCAGCAGCACTTTGGAGACAGGGTCACCCGCGTACAGCCCGTGTTCCAGGACCACCAGTTCCGTGAGGCTTGGCTTTGGATTCTCACAACCTGGGGAGCAAAGAAGTGCCTGGGGGTTAGCCGGGCCAGCACGGGCCCCAGCCAATCCCAACCCAAGACACCTGCCCGAGTCAGCCTTGCCCATGCGGGGTCCTGCTGGGCGACACGTGCCCTTGGCCCCCGCCTGCCATACCCTGCGTGCCCTCAATGCACATGGTGTGAGCCCGGCCTTCCGTGCTGTTCCTGCCAATGGCATAACTGATGGTCACCTGGCTGTCCTGGATGTGCCCCCGCACCTGCAAGACAGGGGGTCACACCCTGCTCATGGGGCCAGCCTACCACTGCCAGGGAGCCCACCTGACGTCCAGGCGGCCATGGGGTGCAGGGGGTAGCTCGGCGCCCAGGGGCCTGCCCCAGCAGGCTGGGAGTCCCGAGTTCCCTCCGCCCGCCCCAGACTTACTAGCGCCAAGTAAGCCTTGGTCACGCGGCGCTCCTTGAAGCACCTGTACGCGCTGCCTGCAGCCGCCTTGTTCAGGGCCACACACAGCGCCCCGCTGGTGGAGAAGTCCAGCTGGTGGCAGAACCTGTGGCGGGGCAGAGCATCAGCGGTGGCTGAGGTGGGGGGCGGTGGCCTTCATGGCGGTGTCCAGCATTTGAGCCACCGCTTGGACAGGCGCTGGCGAGAGGCCACCTCTTCCCTGCCCTGCGTACCTGAACCCGTAGCAGGTGTCAGGGTCAGCCAGCTCCGGGAAGCGGTGCCGCAGCTGCTTCTGCAGGGTCAGGGTCTCCTGCCACGTCTTGCTGTCGATGCGCAGGTCCCAGTGCTTGTTGACCACCAGGAAGTCGCCGCTGCGGTACACGATGGACAGGTTCTCCACGCTGCCCGGTTCCATGGCGGGCCTGCCACCCAGGGTGGGAGTGTGCGTGAGGGCATGGCGGCCCCCGGCCCAACGGCACAGACTTCACCCCCCAGGGCTCTGGCTGGAGCCACCAGGCAAGCGTGCTGCCGGGCAGCCCTGGCCCTCCATCCCTGAGGCCGGGCCCAGGCACCAGTGGGGTCAGCCTGGCTCTGGGTGACCATGAGGGGCCCTCCCTGACTGGGACCTGGCAGAGCAGCCTTGTCCTCCAGCCGCCCGCAGACCCTCCCAGCCAGTGCGAACGGTGACGAGGGCCTTCTCCGGAGTGGGCAGTGGCAGGGGCAGGGGCGGGGCTGCCGCACCCCCCAGGCCCCGCCTGCCTGGAGCGCCGGTGCCGGCGCAGGTGCCGGCTGGGCCCCCGCCCGCCCGCAGGCCCCACGCGGCGCCGCTCCCGGTGCCACCCGCGCCTCACTGAGTCCTGCGGGGCGACAGGCGTGTCGCGTGGGGCCCAGGCCCGGGCAGGCCCGGATCCACGCACGCCCTCCCCGCGCCCCTGCCCGCTCGGAGACCGACCTGCCGCCGCGCCGCGCCGCCGGGCTCCCCACGCCGCCCCCGGCCCCGGCTCCAGCCCCCGCGTTCCCGCTGAGACCCAGCGACCCGGCGACAGCAGCTCGGGACACGCAGCGCCGCTCCGGCCCGGCCAGTCCTGCGCGCGCAGCCCCGCCTCCGCCCCGCCCACGACCCGCCCCCGCCACGGACGGGTGGCTGTCCCGGCCAATGGCAAGTTCCCCGGAGCCCCGTTGCTCTGACTACCAGCAGGGACTCGGCCCCGCCCACCTCGCGCAGCCCCGCCCCCGCCCCGCTGACCAATGGCGAGCGCCGCTGGGCACGCCGGCCGCTGATTGGCGGCGCCGAAGCGCGCGGGGCGGGGCGGCGGCGGCGCGGGAGTCCGGAGCGGGCCCGGCGCGGCCGCCATGGAGGAGGACTACGAGTGGGAGCTGCGCGGCGTCGAGGATGACTTCCAACGCCAGTTCGCCGCCGAGCTCGAGGTGCTGGCCGAGCTGGAAGGTGGGCGCGGGCCCGGGGCGCAGCCTGGCTCGGTTGCGGTCCTGCCGCCGCCCCGGCCGCGAGGCCGCCCTGCGGGCCGCCCGGGGTCCCATCCGCCCCCGGGGTCCCTTCTGCGCCCGGGGTCCCTTCCGCCCGCGGAGTCCCGTCTGCGCCCGGGGCTCGGTCTCCTCTCCTGCACGGCGGGACCACGACCCCACCCTGGGCAGTCAGGGAGGGCTGCCCGGAGGAGGTGAGGCGCCAGGAGCCGGGCGACCAGGAGGACCGGCCTGGGAGATTGAGCCGGAGACCGGGGCCTGCGGCGCCGCCGTGGACTGACGTGCTGCCGGCCAGCGGAGCCTGGCTGTCCTGGAAGGCTGCTGTGACCTTTCTCTCCCTGCAGGGACGCCGACTCTGTCACCCTCCCGAGCCCCCCAGCCCACGGTGGGCCGGCCGCGGCTCACGTTCGAGGAGGCCATCGCCGGAGGGGACGCCACCACCCACCCCTCGCCCGCTGGATCTCCGGGGAAGAGCAAGGGCCGTGCCAGCAAGAGGCCACTGGATGCTGACTTCCAGAGGGATGGGCTCCTGCCCCCCAGTAGGTCCCCGGGATCACCTGGGCGCTTGGGGTGGTGCCAGGCTGGGAAAGAGCTTCCTGTTCCCTCCACGTATCTCTTGCAGCCCCTAAAATCAAACGGCGCAGGCTAGAGGTAGTCAAGAGACTGAACTTTAGGCCAGAGGAGACGGAGGAACCGCCACTGCCTGACTCCCCACCAAGGGACATCACCCCCCCTCCAAGTCCTGAGATCCCCACCAAGCTGTGGGGCGATGGGTGTGTGGCTTGGGGCACGGGTGTCCCCCCCCATGTGTCTAAGGGGGACTTGGAAGAATCCTGTTTCCTGAATGAGGCCTCGGGGTGGGGACCTGTGGGAAGACACCACAGCTGAGGGCAGATGCAGGCACCCCCGTCCTAGGGCGACAGGGACTGAGCCCTGGTCCCTGCCCAGGCCCTCAGACGCTGGTGCCGACGGGGCTCTCACACGGGCCTCACCAGCCGCCCGCAATCCCGTCCTGAGACGGCCCCCTGTCCTGGAGGACTACGTCAACGTGACGTCCACCTGTGGTGATCGGGCCTTCCTGGTGCTGCGTGAAGATCGCACGGGCACTGGGGTACAGGTAGGTGGGTGCTGTGCGGCCCACTGACAGGGCCGGCCTTGGCCTTCCTGTAGGGCGGGTGGGCCAACGACACCTAGAAAGGGTCCTGGGCCCCACGCCCCGGAAGGGGACGTCTGGTTTGCTGAAATCAGGTGACTTCCACACAGCTGGGGGCTGGGGAAGAGCGAAGCTGATTCGGGATGTGGCCTTAACGGACATGGCCTCTCTATCCCACCCCACTGTGCAGGCTGCTCGGTGCCCCATGCATGTGCCCTAAGGGCGGGGAGGCCCCTCCTCCCCTTCTCCCCTTTTCCCCTTCTCCCCTCCTCCCCTCCTTTCCTCCTTCCCCCTCCTCCCCTCCCTCCTCCCCTCCTCCCCTTCCTCCTCCCTCTCTTCCTCCCCTTCCTCCTCCCTCCCTTCTCCCCTCCCTTCCTTCTCCCCTCCCTTACCTTGGCATTGCTCCTCTGGGTGGCTTCCTTTCCTGGGGCCTCTGATCACACAGGTCTCTTCCACCTCCCTTGACTGGCTTATGTGGGGGAATCCCACCTGGGCCCTTGAGCACTACTGGGGGACCGTGGGTAACCCCACGGCCTAGACAGGGCCTAGAGGTGACCGTCATCCTGCCTTCCCCATAGAGCCCTCTCCTCGACATCCGCTGGCGAGGCCGCGGCCAGCTGGACCTGCTGGGTGTGTCCTTTGCGTCGCTGAAGGAGCAGGTCGACAGCGAGGTGGGGTTCCAGGGCTTTGCGGGAGGGGTAGTGTGGGGGTGACTGGCCGCCTGAGGCCTCCTGACCCCAGGTCTCGTGCACAGCGACGGCAGCGGCTGCTCCAGGAGGCCCAGTGGCTCTCAGACACCCTGCGCAGGTGACCTGGTGGGCCCTCCCGCCCCGGAGCCCTGTCTGGTTCTTGGACCAACGCCCATCTTATGTCCCATGGGGTTGTGGGTCAGCGTGGTCCCTGCCAGGGGTCTGGTGGCTCAGGACGTGATGCTCTCCAGCCTCGGGCCGGAGGCGGAGGAGGCCCAGCCCGCAGGGGCCCCTGAAGAGGAGCCAGTGGACGGCCAAGACGCCTCCCAGCAATGCCTGTGGGTAGACGAGTTTGCGCCCCAGCACTACACGGAGCTGCTCAGTGACGACGTGAGGTTTTGTTCGCACTCGAGTGTGACTGACTTTCCATTACCAGGAGGGAAGAACCTGGGCCCCAGCCGGTCCCAGCATTGCCAGCCCAGAGGGCTGGCTGTGGGCATGGATGGGGACCCTGGTCTGCCCCACCGAGTTGAGGCAGCGGTTGGTGACCGCACAGCCGGCAGGGTGGAGGTGGGGACGCCGTGCCCACCAGGGCCGTGCCCTCTGAAGCAGCTTTGTTCTCTCCTGGCACCCGGGCAGGGGAGCTGGGTCTGCACAGGGCTGCCTGCTGCTGGTCACCTGTGCCCTGCTGTGAGCTGGGCTGGGGGTCCGGGGCTTCCCCTGCCCTAAGTCTCGGTCCCCTTTCCTGTCCCCACTGTGGCGCTCACCAGCAGGGTGACCAGGGGCTGGCCACCCCCCGTGAGGCCCAGCATCTCTGTCTGTATCTCGGGGCCCACGGTAGCAGGTTCCCTGAGGGCAGGCCCAGGTCCTTGGTACCACGTTGGGCCGGGGTTCCCTCAGGCTGCGCCTCCCTCCCTGCAGTTCACCAACCGCTGCCTCCTCAAGTGGCTGAAACTGTGGGACCCGGTGGTGTTTGGCCACGAGAGGCCTGCCCGGAAGCCCAGGCCCAGCGCCGAGCCGGCCCGGGTCAGCAAGGAGGCTGCAGCCTCGGCCAAGTGGAAGAGCCACGAGCAGGTGGTGGAGGAGATGCTGGAGGCCGAGCTGGACCCGAGCCAGCGGCCCCGGCAGAAGGTGACCCCCCCCCACCCCCGCCGGCTGTGCTGCGGGTGCCGCGGAGCCTGAGGCTTTGCTCTTGGCAGCCGGTGCCATCGCAGCCTCTGGGGCCCACGAGGCACGTTTACCTTCTCTGGAGGCTACGGGCATGGTGACGCCTGGGTCTCGCTGTGAAGCGCTGCTGACACGAGTCGGAACTTAGACCTGTCCTAGCGATTCAGATGAAGCCGACACCCCTGCAGAGGCTCCGTGTCTCGCCAGGATGACCTGGGGGATGGCGGGTGGTTTCTCGGGGTCGGTCATACGGGTTCTTGCTGTATTCTTGTCCGGTTCCTGCGTAACTCGCTTCACACAGGTCTCTCTGTTCAGGAGCGCTGTCTGTGCACGTTTGCGTGGGTTTTGTTCCTGTTTGACACCAGGGGGGTGCAGGGAGAACACCCGGCAGCACGCGGCGTCGGGGCACAATTTTCAGCCCCTGGCTGCTGGGCCGGAGCTTCCTGGAGCCCCGCGTGTTGCAGCTCCTCCTCCTCTACCTGGGCCGCAGGTGGCATTGCTGTGTGGACCCCCGGGGCTGGGCAAGACCACTTTGGCTCACGTGATTGCACGGCACGCGGGGTATTCCGTGGTGGAGATGAACGCAAGGTGGGTGGGGCAGGAGGCCCGTCTCTGGTTCCTTGTCCGTCCGGACACGTTCACTGAGTTCGGGCTGCAGCCCCGAAACCTGAGCGAGGTTGTTCCTGTTTTCAGGGCAGGGCTGGGTGGGGCACGTCCTTGCTCGGGCCTCGCTGCACGTGGCAGCCGTATCCAGCCGGGGCTTCATGGTGTAGGCGGGACTCCAGCCGGGGGGCTGTCCCACCAGGGACAGCCCTGATGACCCCTCCTTGACCTCACTGCTCCAGTGATGACCGCAGCCCGGAGGCCTTCCGCGTGCGCATCGAGGCAGCCACGCAGATGGAGTCAGTGCTGGGCGCTGGTGGGAGGCCCAACTGCCTGGTCATCGATGAGATCGACGGGGCCCCCACGGTGGGCCTCCCTGGTGCCACGGGGAGGTGGGCAGGCGGCTGGCCAGGCACTGGGGCTTTGGCTCACTTTGCCCTCTGCACCTCCGCAGGCTGCCATCAACGTCCTCTTGAGTGTCCTGAACCGCAGGGGCCCACAGGAGGCGGAGCTGAGGGGCCCGGCCGCGCCTGTGGGTGGAGGCGGCCGGGGCCGCGCAGAGCGGGGACTTCTGACGAGGCCCATCATCTGCATCTGCAATGACCAGTGAGTGGCCGGCGGGAAGCACCCTGTGCCCCTGGGTGGTGCCCACCCTGGAGGTGCCCCCGGTGAGGGCGCTGCCGTCCCCTCCCTCAGGTTTGCGCCGTCACTGCGGCAGCTGAAGCAGCAGGCCTTCCTGCTCCACTTCCCGCCGACTCTGCCCTCGAGGCTGGTGCAGCGGCTGCAGGAGGTCAGCGGGCAGGGCCTGGGCCCGGCAAGCACACGGCCGCCTCTGAGGTGGGCTGTGGCCCCCCTCCCCCGGTGTCCCCAGCTGGCTCCGGACGTGGTGGTGATGGTGTTTGCACTGGCCCAGTCTCTGGTGGGGGGTGGCCCCAAGCAGGGCCAAGGCCGGTCCACGGACACTCACGGTCTTTGGCCCTGCGGGGCAAGGGCTGCTCCTCACCTGTCTGTAGGGAAAAGGGTGGTGGCCCGACAGGGGCTCTGAGCAGGGCCGTCCTGGCCAGGTGCCCTCAGAGCAGCAGCGGGAGGGTCAGCACCGGCACCCTCCCCTGCAGATCTCCCTGCGGCAGGGCGTGCGCGCTGACCCGGGCGCGCTGGCGGCCCTCTGCGAGAAAACTGACAATGACATCCGTGCCTGTGTCAACACTCTGCAGGTGGCTGGGCAGCGAGTGGGGATGTGGGGTTGGGGCTGGGCTCGGGGTCTCACCCCCTCTCACCCCCACTCCTCGTCCAGTTCCTGCACAGACAGGGCCGGCGGGAGCTCAGCGTGCGTGACGTGCAGACCACGCGTGTTGGCCTCAAGGACCAGCGCAAGGGGCTCTTCTCGGTGTGGCAGGAGGTCTTCCAGCTGCCTCGGGCCCAGAGGTGGGCAGCAGGCAGGCCGGGCCTGGACGGGCGTCTCTGTCCCAGAGCCCCAGGACGCGGACCTCGCGTGTGCAGCCAGCACCACCTGCACGGAGACCCAGCACTCGGCAGCCAGGGGCCGCCCCACCTGGCCTTCAAGGCTGTGCCTCGGCCTCCCTGGCCTGCCCGTCGGGCTCCCCAGCCCTTGTGGCTCAGGGCCTGGACAGGGGCCACCGGGGCGCCCTTGTGGGAATGGTGCCCCGACATTGCAAAGGCCCCCAGGGTGCAGCTCTGGCCTGGCCCCCATCTCTGCCACGTTGCGGTCTCTGGGCTGCGATCCTAGAGCTCCTGCCAGCCCAGGCAGGGCTGGGAGGCCTCAGGGGCAGGGAGCAGTCAGTGTCTGGGGAGGTACCCAGAGCCGCTCAGCCTCTGGGACGTGCTGTTCCCAGCCCGGTCCCCGAGGGCGACCTTCCCCGAGGGTCAGTCCAGGAGGGCCAGTCTAGGTCTGGGAGCTCTGCGGAGACCTCTTGGGTGACCCCAGAGCATTGTCAGCGCACAGACCCCAGGGTGCTGCTGGGAAGCAAAGTGGGCGGCGGGGCTGCCTGTGCCTTCACCAGGCCCACCCCAGCCCCCGCACCCCCCACAGGCGACGCGTGGGCCAGGACCCGGCCCTGTCCGCCCACATGCTTCGGCTCAGCCCCGGGGACACGGGCTCCCTGACCACGGCCTCACAGCGCTTCTACCACGTTCTGCACGTCGCCACCTCTGCCGGCGAGCACGAGAAGGTGGTCCAGGTACCTGCTCTGCTCTCCCGCAAGCATCGGCTGCGCCCTGTGCCCCACTGGAGGGACGGCGGCAGGAGACGCTGAGGGCTGAGTGGGAGGAGGCGGGAGTGGGGGTGGTGGGGATGGGCTCCAGGGAGGCTCTGAGGTGGCCTTGAGTAGTGGGGAGGGGTGAGCAGGGAGGCTGGGGAAGGCCAGAGGGTTCGGGGCCTGGATGGGTGGGGGAGGGGAGAGAGGGTGTCTGACCCAGGGATCAGTGCTTGGGGTGGAGCTTCTGCCACCCTGTGGCCAGGGAGGGGCTGGGTTCTGGTCCGAGCGTGCAGGTGGGGTGGGCTTTTGGCCTGAGCAGGGGCAGAGGTCCCCGGCACCCCCGCCTCACCCCTGGGGAAGCCCGGCCTAAGCTGCCTCTTGACTCTAAGCCGCTTTGGATTAGCGGCTGGGGATCCCGGCCGATCTGGAAATCCAGGGTGCAGAGGTGCCTGTGGTGCCGCCTCGGGGGTAGGATCCCACGCGGGGGGAGTGAGGCTCCGCGCCCTGACTGTGTGGAGGAGGGGCTGGGGCTGGACCCCTCTGGCTCCTGGAGGCTGGTGGGCGGTTCTCCCCTTGTCTTGGGGTCTTCGTCCCGCTGAGTGGGCGGTCAGGATGACCCTCCCGGCCCCCCAGGGCCCGTGGCGCTCACTTGCTGGTGTTTGCCACTGCCCCCAGACCCAGGCTTGGCGGGCCGCGGGACTGAGGCCTGCCCGCCGCCACAGGGTCTGTTCGACAACTTCCTGCGCTTGCGCCTGCGGGACTCCAGCCTGGGGGCCGTGTGCTCCGCCCTCGACTGGCTGGCCTTCGACGACCTGCTGGGGCAGGCCGCCCACCACGGCCAGAGCTTCCAGCTGCTGCGCTACCTGCCCTTCCTGCCCGTGGCCTTCCACGTGCTCTTCGCCCGCAGCCACGTGCCGAGGATCAGCTTCCCCAGCAGCCAGCAGGAGGTGCCCCCGACCCCCCGCCCAGGGTCTGGCCCAGGGTCCTGGACCCAAGGTCCCGAGTGACCTTGCCTGGTTCACCCTCTGCTTCAGGCCCAGAACCGGATCAGCCAGACAAGGAACCTGATCCAGACGCTGGTGTCGGGCATGGCGCCAGCCACGCGCAGCCAGGCTGCGCCCCAGTCCCTTGTCCTGGATGCCCTCTGCCTGCTCCTGGACATCCTCGCGCCCAAGCTGCGCCCCGTGAGTGCCAAGCCCCGAGGAGGGCTGGGGCTCCTGAGGGCAGACCCTGCCTTGCTCAGCCTCCCGCCTGCCGCCCCCGCCCAGGTGAGCACGCAGCTGTATGGTGCCCGCGAGAAGCAGCAGCTGGCCAGCCTCGTGGGCACGATGCTCGCCTACAGCCTCACCTACCGCCAGGAGCGCACGCCTGACGGGCAGTATGTCTACAGGCTGGAGCCGTGAGTCCCCGCGCCTGGCGGGCTTAGGCCTGGGGGCTGTGCGAGGGAGCCAGGCCCACACTGGGCCGGGAGTCTGGAAGCATGGTCTTGTCACCGTGTCCGGGAGTGGTCAGTCCAGTGTGGCCTGTGCTCAGGTGTCACTGTGAGACGGGAGTCACTGCCAGCTCCCCAGGTTGGGCACAGCCCTGAGACCTGTTTTATTGCAGAGCTTCTCCCAGCCTTCATGCCCCCCCAGGAGCAGTGCCCAGAGGCCCCATGAGCTGGGTGGCCCCATGAGTGACTAGCGCTCCCAGGGCTCTGTTTGCCACCCTGTGATGGTTGTGGGGGGCGGGGATACAGGGTGCAGCCCCGGAGCCGTGGCCTGAGGGTTCTGCTGCCCCGGCAGGGTCTCCCTGCTGTCTTATTCCTTCTCCTGCATCCTTGGGTAGGTTCTGTCGCCATCCCCACTATAGCTGGGGAAAACGAGGGTCGGGACATTTAAGCTCTGGCTGCCTCAGGGCTGGGGTGCTGCAGCGCTAAGACTCAGCCCCACGCTACCGCTGTCCAGCTGTGGTGTTTGGGGTTCGTGCGCCAGGTGGGCCCCCGGCCCATCCCTGCTGACCGGGTGCCCTGGTGTCCTGCCTCCCCTGCCCTGAGCAGGAACGTGGAGGAGGTCTGCCGCTTCCCAGAGCTGCCCGCCCGCAAGCCCCTCGCCTACCAGGCCAAGCAGCTCATCGCCCGGGAGATCGAGGTGGAGAAGATGCGGCGGGCAGAGGCTGTGTCCCGGGCTAGGAACAGCCCCCAGGTGAGCCTGCCTGGGCTCTTAGAACAGAGGGGGCCTGGGGAAGGGCCTGGGAGTGGATCCTGTCCCCGCTCTGGCCTTGCCCAGCCAGCCCTCCCTGTATCCTGCTCCCTGCAGGTGGACAGGAGCCCTGTGGGACCTGAGGGTCCGCTGGGAGGCAGTGGGGAGAAGGACGTGTGCCGACCTGCTCTGCGCAACCACGAGCAGCGGCTGGAGCACATCATGAAAGCAGTCCGGGAGGAGCAGGTGCAGGGGTGGGGCTGGGGCAGCCATGGAGGGGTGGGGCCAGAGCTGCAGGGGCGGGGCTTTGGGCCGGGCCATTGGCCGAGAGGGTGGGGCTGGCTCTGAGCCCTGGGGGCTGTCCTGAAGGTCTAGTTCCCTCCACCTAGCATGATGGTCCTCCTGGGCCTCAGTTTCCCATCTGGGCCGGAGAGCGGTCCTGATGGGGAACAGGTGGCTGTGAGGTGGTGAGGGATGTTGGGGTGCTGGCCTGAGCAGGGTCAGGAGAGGCTCTCAGTGGTGCTTGGGGCCCCTCCTCCCTGGGATGGCCCCTGGGTCCTCCCATCTGGCACCAGGGACCACACGGGGGTCTGTCCCACGAGCCTGATGGGCCCCTTCTCCCCGTCAGCCTGAGAGGGACTTCTTTGGACGTGTGGTCGTCAGGAGCGCGGCAGCCCCGAGGGCAGGTGTGTGTAGGGGCTGGGGGGCCTGGGGGCCTGGGGGTGGGCCAAGGAGCAACCATGTGTCCCCCGCAGAGGACGTGGCCCTGGAGAAGGACGCGGTGGAGCGGCGCATAGGCACGGCGGTGGGCAGGAGCGAGGTCTGGTTCCGCTTCAACGAGGGTGTCTCCAATGCCGTGCGGCGCAGCCTGTACATCCGGGACCTGCTGTAGCCCCAGGCCCGGGGGGTGACCCCACGGGGGCCCCTGGCGTTGCTTTGTCTCCACAGAAGACGAATGAAACACAGAGCCCTGGAGAAGTTTTATAAAAGCTGCGCCTTCACAGACTCGCTCTCCCAGCAGTCGGAGTCGGGGTGGGCGGGGCTCACAGGATGGCGCACTTGCCCTTCTCCACCCAGGGGTTGTTCTTCATCAGGTCGGGGTTCAGGAAGGGGTCCTTGGGGATCCCGTCCTCGATCCACTTGAGGAGCCTGCAGGCGGTGGGGAGGGTGAGTGGTGGGTGGGCGGCGGCACCTGCCCGGGGTGGGCTTGGCTCATGCAAACGAGCCTCGAGCCGGCAAGTGACATGCAAATGCCGCGGCGAGGCACTCACTCGGGGATGGTCTTGGAGGACATCTCCCTCTTGAAGGCCAGCTGGTACTTGAGGCTCTCCACCTCTTTCTTCATCTGGGGCACGTCCCACTCCTCCATGGCGTCGGGGGCTTCGGAAGTAGCCAGCCTGCTGCTGGAGGCCAGGGAGGAAGCAGCCACTGCCCCCAGGCGTCCCCTCCCCACCAGCCTGATTCCCCCAGACCAAGGGAGGGAGGAAGTCCTACCGCTGCCTGGGCAGGTCACCAGGGCCAGAGCACAGTCCCAAGAGGCCCCGCTAATGAGGCCTCACAGGCCTCCTCCCCCGTGGGGCTAGTTAGCTGCCGGGGAACTTTCCACCTTAGCGCTGTGCCCACCTGCCCCCAGCGTACCAGGGTCCAGCTCTGGATCGGAGGGGAATGGGACCCTGCCCCCTCACCCCTGCCCCAGGAGACAGTAGCACTGGGCACACAGTACAGGGGGGCCCTGGGACCCCCAGCCCTCCCACCCTCCACTGTGAAGCCCACTCCCAGCTCTTGGTCACAGACCAAGATGGGCTGGGACCTGCCCTGCCTCCCGTGGGCCTCTGCTTTGCATGGACAAAGCCCACTTAGAGTCCGCCCTGGAGCTGGGAGATTTGGCTGAAATTTGCATCCCTGGTAGGGTGGGGGTGTGTGCTGAGGATGCTGGGGACCTGGGCTGTGTGTGGCCCCGATGCCTGGTGCCTTCCTGGGAGCTGCCCTGGAATCCCTCAGCCTGATTTCTGCGTGTGAAGCAGCCTGGCAAAGCCACAGGTTGAGAGCTCTCGGAATACCTGCCAGCCGGGAGCAAGTGGGACGGGGCGCCCCTGCCGCTGCCACCCCAGCCCCCTCCAGGGCCCAGGAGTCCCTCGCTGGACCCCATCCTGGAGGTTGGAAGGCAGGACTGGATTCCTCAACCTTCAGGGGGGCGGAGGGCTGGCATGGGGTTCGGGGGCTCCTGGTCAGACCGTCTCCATCCCCCCAGGGCTGTAGCTGTGCTGGGTGTGCCCAGGGCCTGGAGACGGTGGAAGCCTGGTTGGTGACACAGTGGCCTGGCCAGGAGGGGTCGTGGGAGGGTCCGCCAGGAGCAGGGATGGTCTCTGCGAGGCGCATGCCGGGGACTCCCAGAGCCCCCAAGTTCCAGCACCCCCATCCCTGGCGGCCCCCATGCGTACAGCCACGTGGGCCCAGGTCCAGCTCCGGGCTGGGGGCGTTGGCCGCCCTACCCACAGCCCCAGCCGCCGCCTCTAGCCCTACCTGTGCGCAGCCGCCGCCAGAGCCCCGCGCACCCTGCGGACGCCCCCGGCCACGGCGCACGGCGCACTGGGCCAGCACTGCGGGCGGCGCGCACGGCGCACGGACGCGGCTCCTCCACCGCGCCGCCCGCGCGCAGCACTGGGGGCTCGTTCTCCCGCTTTCGGGACACGCCAGACAGCCGCCCTCCGCTGCTGCGGGAGTTAGGTGAGCCCGCGGGACTGACCCGGACAAGTCCCGGGCCTCGCTTTCGTCCTCACTGCAAGGGGCCTGACTTACCTTGGGAGGTGACAGTGAAGGCAAAGCGATGGCAAGGGCCAGGTGCCAGCGAGGTGGCAGCCAGGGCCAAGTGATGTGCAGTGAGTGCTGGCGGGTGCCCGCCCCACTCCTGCCGCCTGGAGCCCTGGCACCGCCCCTGCCCCCCTTCTCAGGGCTGGGCTGACCCCAGAGACCGTCCCTGCCTGGCGCACACTGCCAGCCGCTGCTGGTCTCGCCCGGTGGGTGGGACATGCAGCCAGGGGGCAGTGTGGGGCCCAGGGGTTGGCTCTCGCACTGGGCAGAGGAGTGGTTCCTTCAACCAGGGTGGGTGGGTGCCTGGCCGGCGTCACGATGCCTGTCCAGAGGGCCTTCAGCTGGTCAAATTGTCCCCTAGCCCAGGGGGCCCCTGGTCAGAGCCACCCCCATCCTCCAGTGTCCCAGGACCCTTCGCTGGGGTCTGCGGTCTTTGCAGCCCACTTGGTGCGAGCAGCCCTCAGTAGTGTCCACGAGTGGAGGCTGGAGGACAGGCCCAGCCACGTGCCTCAGTAGGCCCAGGATGTGAGCCTCTGCCTGCCAGGGAGCCTGGACCTCCGGGGGGTGGCTCCCTGCTCTGGCCCTGTTGGCATTCCCTGCCCAGCAGCTGGCAGGCTGCCCGGGGGTGGGAGGTGCTGCTGTTCTCCAGGCTGCCCTGAGCCGGGAGTGGCCCAGGGGGTGGCCTGAGGTGCCCCACACCGCGCCCACTCATGGTGGCTGCGGAACATGCTGCCCCAGGGGGCTGAGTGCCAGGGACTCGGGGCAGGGGGTTCCCTCCTTGGCCACTTAGAGCCCTGACTGAGGTCAAAGGCCCTGCAATGGGCCGCAGTGGACACTCGCCCCGCGGTCCACCCCAGGGCAGGAGCCATCCCTGTTTTCCTCACACACATTTCCCGATGTCCCCGCCTGACCCCCCCGCGCACCCTGTGGGGAAGCTGCACCTCAGGGACCATCAGGTGACACACGCAGCAGGCTGCAACCTGGACAGGGGGCCCCCAGGCAGCAACGCCGGCCTCACGGGGCGGCAGGACCAGCTCCCCAGATGCAACCCCCACGAAGGTGCCCCTGCCCCTCCCGGCCCTTGGCAGGTGCTCCTGGGACCTCCCCTCGACTGGGGCCTGTGAGCTGGTCACTGTGTCCCTCAGTCACATGGAACCTCTTGGGGCCCCCTGGGCAGCCCGGTCGGCAGCGATGGTGCCCAGGCCCCTCGAGTCAGCAACAGGCTAAATCCCTGTTGGGGTTCAGTGAAACGGGGCCACCCGCACCCCCCGGGTTCCTGGTGCACACCGCACGCAGCTGGATCAGAAGGCACTTCTGGAACTGGGACACATTAGGGGAGGATTATTTTTATTATGGATTTAGGGGGGTTGGAGCAGCTTAGAGCCAAGGGCGCCGGGCCTCCCCCTCAGGGCAGATGGCCGCTCCCAGTGGGTGGGGGTGGACGCTTCTCCCGTGGCCCCCTGGGCTGCCCTGCCTGGGCCCCTTGTGTGTTTGGGCTGAGGGGGTGAGTCTCCATCACGGTGGGCTGCCTGGGGCTCTCCTTGTGGCTGGGGGCAAACTGCAGGCGCCACTCTGCCCCTGGGGGAGGGGTGTTTTGCCCCAAATTCCCCCAGACTCGGGCAGGAGGGGAGAGGACCCCAAGAAGACCCCCTCATTTGCTGGGGCAGCAGTGTGGTTTGGACAGCCTGGGCTCTGCAGCTGAGTCCAGAGCGCCGGAGGTGTATTGGCCCTTGGGACCCGCGGTGCCACCGCAGCCGGCCAGCTGCTCTGGCCTGGAAGGGCAAAGGTGGGTGCTCCCATCAGGTTGCTGAGGCCCCCAGATTCTGGTCGTGTGCAGCTCCCTGGGCCCACAGAAGTCCATGGAGGGTGCTCGAGCTCTGTCCAGCATGGCCAGTGTCCCCAGGGAGGCAGGACACAGGGTGGGACTCAGGCTGTGGGGACCCAGTGTCTGCCCAAGTGCCCGGGAGAGAAGCGGACTGATGTGTGCCCGTGGGGGTTGGTGCTGGTGCCGCCAGCCCTGGCGGCCGTGCAGGGGCAGCACGGATGGGGGGAGGGGTCTGAGTCTGCGCCAGGGCCGCCTCTTGCCCCACTACTGCGGTGTTTCCAATTGCTGGTCACACACACTACCACGCGGACCCTTGGGGCCCTTGTGCTGAACCAGGCAGCTGCAGTGATCTCTGCTCCTGTAGGAGGGACCGTGAGACCCCCATGCTCGGTCCCACAGGACCTGAGGACCCTTAACTTCTCACCTTCCTATGGAGGCTAGACTTGGAAACCCCTGAAATGCATCCAGGCCCGGGGGGCCTGGGTGGGTCACAGACATGAGCCTGCTTCAGCGATTCCTGCCGGGAGGACTTTGGGGAAGGAACAACCACCTCTCCTGCTGCCGGACTGACCACCTGGCAGATGTCTCGCAGTGGGTCCCTGGTGACAGGGAGCTCCTTTCTGAATCAGGCCACTAAGTGGGCCACTGGGTGAGAACACACAGAGCTCCTTCCGCTGGCCTAGAAACGGCTGCCCCAGGCCCCAGCCCCTGACTGCAGGGCCCAGTGCCAAGGCCACGGCCTGCCGGGCAGCACATGTGGCCGGGGCCCCCTCGCGCTGCCTTTAGGGCTCAGTCCAAAACCAGTATGGGGGTGCCGTGGCCCCTTCCGGGCCGAGCGGGAAGCCCCTGCAGGGTCCTGGAGGGCAAGGCAGTGCCGGGACAGGCGTGTGGCTGTCTGAGTAGGTGAGGGAGAGGTGCCCGCTGATCCCCCAGGAAACCGAGGGACAGAGCACCAGGGCTGGGGCCGGGCGGAGGAGCCGGGCAGCCCACTCTCCACCCAGCAGCACCCTGAGCTCTGCGTGAGGGCTCGGGCCACCCCTCGGGCCCTGAGATCCCGCAGCCCCCACCTCCCTCCAGCCCCAAGGCCGTGACACCAGCCAGGCTGGGTCTGTGAGGCTCATTCCCCGAGGCCTGCAGACAAGCAGCCTGGGGCGGGGGCAGCTGGTCCCCTTCTGTCCCTGCAGACAAGACCGCGGAGGCCAGCACAGGGACACCAAGGAAAACCCGTTTTACCAAGGCAAGCGGAGCAAGCGGAAACTGGATGGCCTTTATGTAATCTTTGGAAGTTCGAGAATGATTTTCAAAAACCATTTGCACCCTTAGGCTCAC